CACAATTGATTGAATTAGTGACCCAAATACGAGACTCGCATTTAAATAAACTTTTTTTACGTGAAAAACTTTTCGTACCATTTACTTTTTATTGATTAAAGAGTATTTTTTCATTACATTACAACCCTCTTCTTCGTTCACGAGGAACGAAATTCAATTTGAGCATTATCGAACATTATTTACACGTGAATGGGGCACTGGGGGCTCCACTTGACATACTGATTGATGTATCTAATGTTCAGCTTCGACCGGCTACATTATGAATATTGATGAGTCTACAAAATATATAAAGGACACCCTGTCTAAGTGAGATGAACACGAACAAGGATTCTCACCGAAAATTAATTAGCACGAGACGTATTTGTATACATTTGGCTCGGAAAATAATTTCGTTTTTTGTCGACACAGGATTTAAATATGTTTTGTAACCAAACTTCGAGACGCAGGAGCGCTATTTTCAGTGTTTTGCTAACTTCTTTTATCAAACCGCTATAATTTAAAAAAACCGGTTCTGTATTTGTCTCGGTTCGGTTCGAGTTCTAGCTCAGCAGAAAAAAAGCGTTCTGGATTCCGGTTCATGGTTCGGTATAACAAGCCGGTTCGTTCCGGTTTTTGTTCCGTTTCGGGTTCGGTTCACACCGTTGTTTATAATAATACATATAAAAACTCGTCAAATATTATAAAAACTAGTGGTGCATGGCATCATGCCTAAAGGCAAATTGCTGGTACTTTCCGTACCAAAAACTTGTCGCCATCTTTCTAAACACTAATCAGCAAGTCTCCTTATCAATACGAATCAAATGTTTTTCGAATTATTCAAATCGGTTAAACCGCGTTCCCTAAATCGTCGAAAAACACACACACACACATGTATACATACTAGAAATGGGCTTATCATATCCGAAGCCAAATCGGTTAGGATTAGACTCCGCTTCAGAGAGGAGTTATATCCACTTAACAACTCCACAACTCCGACAACTTTGAAACATAATACTTGACACAAATGTGTTCTCTAGTGTGTTGTTAACATATCTAAGGATTTATTAAGATTTTGGAAATAGTTTACAAATCGTTCAAACATTTTTGTTCATTTTATTATAATAATTACTATTTTATGCATTTCAGTATGCATACAAATCTCAAATTGACAAAAATCTTGAAAATCAAAATCAATTTTGTAATTATTTTTGAAGGAAAAACATAGAATTCTTTGAATATGTTTATTAACTTCCCGTAGGGCAAGTTATAGTAATCGCAAAAAAATCGAAAATGAAAATTTTTTATATCTTTACGTTTCAGAGGTTTCTGAACATTTTGGCATACCTTAGAAAAAATGGATGTATGTGTGTGTGTGTGTGTGTGTGTGTGTGTGTATGTATGTATGTATGTGTGTGTATGTATGTGCGGATACAAATTTTCGTCGACGATTTCGGGAACACGGATCAACCGATTTGAATAATTCAAAAAACATTCGATTTGTATTGATAAGGAGACGTGCTGATTAGTTTTTGGCGAAGGCAGGTCTAGCCGTTCCGAAGATACGGGGCAAAAAGTGCGAAAAACGGTAACTCAGTTTTTAAGAGAACGGAGCGTTCGATTTGAATAACTCAAAAAACATTTCACTTGTATTGACAAGATAAAGAATCGATAAAATTTTTATGAAGGTAGGTCTAGCGGTTTCGGAAATTTGGCGGTCAAAAATGATCATTAGACATATGCACATAAAATTATCAGATATTTTATAGAGATTTTAACAATAAGTATACATTTTGTTAACATTCCTATGGGTTCCGTACCAATGCTTATGCGTTAGACAGCGACGCGGGGCTTACGCGCTTTATATTTTGTCCCTATGCAGTTAAAGCAGTGCGATTACTTTGAAAAGAAAGTTCAGATCTTCCACAATATGTCAAAATAAAGAAAAAAAATTTTTTTTCAAAAAAAAAAATTAAAAAAAAAATTTTTTTTTTAATTTTTTTTTTTTCAAAAAAAAGTAATTTTTTGTCCAATTTATAGTTTCTCAAAAATCTTATTTTTCAAAGTAAATTTTTTTCAAAAATGGTAATCGTTTTTAAAAAAATAATAATTTTTGGTACGGGAAGTTCCAGCAATTTGCCTTAAGGCACGATGCCTTAATTGCCTTAAGACAGAATTCCACTTACAGCTAGTTTTTATATAAAAATAATGCAGTGAACCTTATATATGTAATAAGAGCAAATCTTTGCGTATAATATTTTTCACAAAATAATAATACTTCACATTCTGTTATTATTTCTTTTTCAAGAATTAATTATACATCAGGTAGTTTGATTAGTATACTCTCATTTTACGCAATTATCAAATCATAATTGTGCAAAAGTTTTAATATAATACTAAATATTTTTTAGCTTGTTGTATACCATTGAAAGAGTTCATTTACTGACAAACATTATCGTATACAGAATATAGAATACAAAATAGTATTAATTTGAGACATTATATAGCTGAAAAGTCCTAAAACTGGCTGTGAGACGAGAAAAAACACCACTTCTTTCGACCTAAACCTTTGTATTAGTAAAAAATCTCAAGCAAATATCTGCACATGTTAACAGATTTAGTATCAGTTTAGGGAAGTCGGATATGACAAATCCTGTGAGACAACTCCACTCGGATTCACTCCGAGGAAGGAGTTGTATCGGAGTGATACAACACGCACACATACATACATACACACACATACATCCAGATGTGCTAATTGATCTGCATTCTAAGAAAAGGCGATTGGGACTTTGCCCATTGAAAAGATGAGTACAAATACAACACAAGGTAAGAATGATAACATTCTAGATCCTCCCTCCACGAAATATTGCCTAACGGCGGTTTTCGTGGGGACCAGAGGCAACGGCAAAGCGGAGGTTTTAGTCGGTATTATACCAGGGCGGTATTGAGCCCAGCATAACCAGACAAAAGACCAGTCTAGAATGCATAAAGGCATTTCCTTCCTTTTCTTAGAAGACGTAAAGATATGTAAAAAAATTTTTTTGCGATTACTATAACTTGCCCTAAGGGAGTTAAAATACAACAAAGACTTAAAAAGAAATTTTTAAGAAATCATTTTTCTAAAAATGAAGAAGTACGAAAAGCAAGTACTGAAACTGGTTATATTGCACAGCTTAATTATAAAAAAGTTTAATTTTATTCGCATGATATAATTTAAAGTTGGTTAGTTTAAATTAACAGGCAGTATTTGCAACATAACTCAATTTTTGCAGTATATTTTAATTTAATTGTTCAAGATTTGTTGAAGTTACGCTTGAGCCAGAAATCGTTGGTCAATTTTGGAGTTGAATATGCACCACACTCAGTAGGCCATAGTGGTTTAGCAACCACTGGTTCCGGGTTCGAAATCCATTTTGCTTGATATCAAGCACTAGAGATATCTGATAGTCACTTAAAATTATAGATCTCAAATATGATGTAAAGCCAAAATGTTCGGAGCATTGCTCATTTTATATTGACATCACAATTAGAAATGTATCTAATATAATTTCATAAGAAAATTGCCAAATACTGAATTATCTACTAGAAATAGGTTAAGGAATAGACATCAAACAGTTAAATAGATGATGAAATGTTCTTAATAAATGCACTGCGTTCTAGAAGAGTAATTATCATTTTGATAGGCTTTGCTCAACTTTTAATTACTTTCTAAACATCCTTTCCAAATGTAGTTTTTAATTTGGTCCACTTTATTTCGAATTGTTGGTCAAATAAGATCTTCACAAATCATTAATCTGGATTATTATAGACAGGGCAGATAAACGAGTAGACAAGAAGTAGGAAAGAAGAAAAGTAAACAGGCAAACAGTTTGGAAGTCTTTATTGGTAGACAGGTAGAGAGCTAACCAGGTTATCAGGTGAAAATATAGAAGAGGAGGCATGTAGACAGACTGGTAGACTGAATATGATATACAGGTGATGTGGAGAACAAGTGGACATGTAGGCAGGTAAACAGATGGACAGGTAAACAGATGAATAGATAGACAGGTAAACAAGTAGACAGATAGGCTGGAATAAATGTAGAGAGGTGGACAGGTAAACAATTAGGTAAGTAGAGAGGTAGACTGGTAGATCGTATATAAATTGAATCAATATTATCTATTAGATCGATTATTAATTATTATTATAATTCACACATATCATGCAAATTCCCAGAAGACAAAATGCCACTTACAACCAGTAGATAACTGCATTAGTTTTAGTTTGTTATACATAAATACAAATAAGAGTGACTGATATTCAATAAAAATGTGAAACGTAAAATACTTATCATTTTTACTAGCTTTTTTAAAATATTACAGAAAACAATTGATTTATTATAGTATTCTTAGTAGTTTTATCAAACATAGACAATACAAAAAATTTACAATATAAATTATCGTAAATTTTTAATAAATTCTCTCAGCACAAAAATTTCTTTAGTCTTCTATTAATTGAAACTAAATCAAGCAAAAGCCGAAAGTTTTTGTATGCTAATTATTTTAAATTTCTCTTAATGTTTATAAAAAAATTCTATTCAACATAAGGAAAATTTTTAGACTCTACTGTTAATTAAAATTAAAATTATTTTCTTAGACATCCGCACTGTTTAACAGTTTTATATAATAACTTATTTTAACAAAATACAATATTTGTTATTTGGTATTATGGAATAAAAAATTGCATAAAAATACTAATAGTAAGTTGATTTTATATTTCTTATATGGTTGTATTTGCAAATTTCTCAATTATTTAAACACAAGTGTAGGTACGATTTTGAACAATACTTCCTATAGATTGTTTCAAAGTAAAAATATAAATCTATTAAACCGATTTAAATGTATTTGTGAAATCGTCAATGAATGTTGAAATCGGAGAATAGATACACAGAAATCATTTTCTCATGAGTGCTAAAGTGTTAAAACGTGAAAAAATCCCCAAACTTCTGATTATATAAAAAATTGAAGAATATTTAGACTTACCTAACGTATTGAGGCAAAGAACTTCCATCGTCGATCTCAACAACATCTTAATGTCTTTCAAAAACGTGCACTTGTTTTTCAATAAATTACTAAACTTACAGTTAAAACTACTAAAATTATCACTAGAACTTGTTAATTTATCACTTTTGTTTAAATCTTCGATTTTTTGCAAAATCCAGCAGTTCATACCGATGATGTTCTTCAAGGCTCGAATTAAATTTGATTTCGTTCGATGCCATTCTTCGTAGGAAACATTGCTGGAAATAGAGATAAATGAGTAATTGTAAACAGAAGTAAAACTAAAATTAGTCAAATATACATAAACAAATTATTAGCAAAATATTGTCTCTTGTTCAATGAGAATTTATTAATATATTATGTACCTGTAATCTTTCAATATGTACAAAGTATCTTCTTTGATGTACCACTGTTTCACCAGATCAACATCGCTGTCAATATCATCAAATTCTTCAAATTTTTCGTGCTCCTGAAGCTTTCCAATATCATGTATTAATTTTATATTTTCGATCAGTTCATGGAAAAGTTGTGCCTTTATGCGAACGGGTAAGATCTTATCGGTATTGAGATTTGAATCGGATAACAGACCCTGAAAAAAATTTAGTCAATTAGACAATTGTTTTGTTATAAATTAAGAGATTTAATAGAGCTTTACAGTATATATACTTCTATTAACTACTTTGATTGTTATATAATACTGTGCTAAAAATCATATGAATGGCAGAATGACTAAAATTTGAACTAGAAAAAGTTTTAATCAAGAATAGTAACTGGTATGCACTTTGAATAAAAAAATCTAATTCGCAATTCTTATTGGTGATTAATTTGTAAAAGTTTTGCAAAATTTAAAAAAAGGGAAGTACCTATTTATTTGTGGAAAAAATCAAACTTTAATATACACTGGTGATATCTTCTTTATCATATGGAATAAAGATGTATATGTAAAAATAATGATACATAATATGCATAACTTATATGAATGATAGTTAAAGAAAAATACATATTTGCATACAATAATATAACATAATTAGAGATTAACTTATTCGCATTTAGATTAATTTCTTCACCATTTTTATAATTTTTTTAAGACTGTTATATTTCTAGTAGCATATGGTTTTGGATCAATTCAACAAATTAAATTTGTAAACAAAAACAAAAGTTTATTCTGGATAAATATTATAAATAATAAGTATATTTATTTGTAATCCGTATTACAGCAAGAAAATAAAAAAAACCCATTTTCAGGATTCTATTCAAGTACTGCTATGTTTGTTTTCGAGATCGATATACAAAGCATTTAAATTTGAATAAATTGTTCAAACAATATAAAACATTTATTTCGAACATCATGAAACATCTGTGACGAATTATAAGTATCACACATATACAAAATATGTGGATACATTTAAAAAAAATTAAAAATTAAATATTTTAAAATACGTACTATAAAAAAACATCCCTTGGAAACATCGTGGCAAATTTGAATCTCACAGAAAATATCTTTTAACGACGAAGGACATTCTGCTGAATCCTTTTCGTCGGCACCATAGTGAAAATCAACGATTTCAACCTGAAAAACAATAATATCTATAAATATAGATTATTATATCAATAATTATGTGGTTTGATATACATAATATAATATTAGTTATTAATATTTATGATAATTTTAATATTTTATATTAACCTAATAATGTAACTGATTAAACACTAAAATGTTCATTAATATTAGAGATTATACTGGCAATAAAATTGTTAATAAATGAAAGACATACATTAATAATTTCAAAAAGTAATTGAAAATTTTCACCAAAAATTGTGTAGTAAGAGAATAGATGAAACAAGAGATAACCAATTCAAAAACATTTATAGCAATTTTAATCAATTAATATAAATCGAATGATTTTGAAGCACTTAAGCAGATTCAGATATTTTGAGATAAATATTCAAATGAATGACAAAATCTGTATCATTATCAATAACTATGCCAATTTCTAAGTAATATGAAAGACACTACATTTTATCAAATATTACTGCAAAATCAATCAATGAATTAATTAATTAATCAATACTTTTGTAAATTTATTTCTAAATATTGTAAAGTCATTCTAATATTTAAAAAAGAAAAAAAAACAAATATTTTAGTTAATATATCATATTTCATTATATTAAATCACTCTAATTGTTTACTGAAAATGGCAAAATTTAATTAAAATTTTGCAAAGTGCATAAAAGCATACTGAACGGAAAAAGTAATTATTGAAAAAGAACTTTCTATTAAATTAAATCTATGGCTGAAGTACTGTTTTCCAATTAATTCCATCATATAAAAGAGCCTACAAATAATATAAAAAACATGAAAATGTTTTAACTAAGCTAATATAGAATTTCAATTATGATTTATTCAAAAACTGTCCTACCTGTTTTTTGGGTTACAAAAGCTTCGTAAAAAATAAAAATAAACGACAATTTCCATCAAATTCATCAATTTCTTCACAATCATATAACACAATTTAATGGGTAAGAAATAGTAGAAATTTGCAAGTACTAATTTAAACTAGTGGTATATGGCATCGTGCCTTAAGGCAAATTGCTAGAACTTCCCGTACCATAATGAAATATTAGAGAAATATTTAAATGTTTCCAAATAAATTAGATTAATATAAATACTGTAACATTGTCTACTATTTATAAAAAAAATAAAGGGAATTACAAAATTAAAATTATTTATTTAAAAAGTATATAAATGAGCTTTAGAACTTTAGCCAGAATTAAAATTAAAATTTGAACTATTTTCGATATACAAAAAAAAATTTCTTGAAAAAAATTGAAATAAAATTGGTCTTGTGAAGTTCTGCATATGTGTAATTAATATAAATTAAGAATGCGCATCATTCAAAACCTTTTTCTGGACATTAATAATTTTTATAATTCAGTTTTGTGAGCCTATAAATTTTAATATGTTAAGCATCATAAACGCTATCAAATTTTCATTAGAATCGTCCGAAAATAAATAATATTAATTATGAAGAAGATCTTTACCAAAAACTAATCAGCAAGATTTGTAAGTGATATCTTTCGAATACTTTTTGAATATTCAAATGGTTCAGGATTTCTGACTGCAACGAGAAGGATTTTTTTACTTATTACTAATTACTTTTTACTTATCTGGTAACTATAAAGAAACGACTCAGCCGATCAGCAACGAAACTAATCGACACGAGTTCTTATAGAGTTCACCGAATGGTCTTTAATTATTTTTTAAGTAGAACTTCTTTAGGCGCGACTAGGGTGTAAATCCGTACAAATGCAACGGAAGTGCGTTACGGCAGAGTCGAGTGCCAATAATTCGTCATTCGCTCTTGATGATTTCATTTCTATACGAGTCGATTGTGATTGTGATTAGCCGTCGCGTGCCGCGCTTTTAGGACAAACAAGAGTGTTTGTGCACTATAATTAATTCAATTAGTTAAGTTTGTTTGAAGATAATATTAATTCGAAATCGCATTAATCATAGTTTTTATTGAGAACAAAAAATTTATTTTTGCAATAAACAGCTCAACATTTTGTATTAATGTATATTTGCTTACTATAATTCTGTTAATAAAGTCGCTCATTACCTATATCAGGCAGTTTATGCAACTTGCCTTGAGGCAAAATGCCACATACACCTGGTGTAAAACTCAATTCATTATTATTATGACATAATACATACAAAAAAACTTTTAGAACATCAGAGCTTTATATCTAGAATCTACTTTCATCAGTCCATTACCTCAATTTTCCTCTCGTTGTATATCGCCTGAAGTTCCGGACCGACCACTTCCAGCAATGAATTCCTTTCGTCCACAAAATCTATAAAATAAAATTATAACAATACATAAACTTTGACATAAAACAAACATTGATATGTAGACTTATGTCGGATAAAATAGAAAACTTGGAGGAAATCGATCCGTATTTTTCTTCTGAGAGATTGAAATATCATGAACTCAAAGAAGCATGATATCGAATGGAGCGGCATAAAAATATCATGAAAATAGATGCTTCAGTTACGATATTGGATACGACTTGCTTTTATGTTTTTCTATGAATAGATGTTATTGGAAAATAAGTTCCTGTCGAAGTAGTCGATATAGGTATATATTTCATTTTCGAATATGTACTTGTTTCAACATTGCGAGCATAACATGAATAAAAGAAAATATTAATATACAATAGTATCATATTAAATATATGCCCTAAGTATATGGTACTCAACCCTAGTATATGGTACAATAATGATACCATATACTTAGTCGACCTTATCAATTTTGGTAAATACAAAAATTTTGGAAAATTTGCAATTCATGTTAATTTGTATTGGTTCAATTTCCAATTTAAATATGTATTTGATTATACAATGTAGTTAATACTTTAAAAGTGTTATATAGAGTTTTTACCCTTTACATTTTTTTTATAAATTAAATATACTGGTACAATTGATTTTATATATAATGTATGTATTATCACTTCACTCAATAAGTCCGTAGATCTAAGAAAAACCCATTTTTTGTCAAAATTCTTTTTGAAGTATGACTTCTTTAGGCGCAACTAGGGTGTAAAACCGTACAAATACAACGGAAGTGCGTTACGGCGGATAAGATAAGATAAGAGTCGAGTGCCAAAGATTCGTCATTCGATCTCAATGATTTTTGTATTCGGGTCGATTGTGATTAGTCGTCGCATACGTGAATAGAGATCTGTCGTTGTATGCTTACCGGCATCAACGTTGTATGCGTTCCAATATCAACAAGGAAATCGGCATATATAAATAAACATTTTAAAGTTACATCGTAGTACAAATCTTGATTTAATGAAAAATGCCTGAATCAGAAAAATATTTTGCTCTGTTCCTTGAAAATAAAACAAATTAAACATTTGTGCCGTGTACTAAACGTAAGTTTATTGATTAGAAATTATTTCTATATTATTCGTAGTTTCTATAAATCTTTGAAGTCATTAAAATGAAAAATATTTTTTAGGCTAGACAGATATTACAGCTGTTCAAAAAATGAGATTTAATCGCCAGCGAAAATAAAAGAAAACGCAAGCAGTCAATGAATGTATGTTAATTTTAATTGTGAACGAATATTATAGAATTTATTAATCAGCAATTACTTCATTTCTCTAATAAAGGTTCAATTATAAATGCTAATTACAATGACAAACCGATCAAGGCAAATTTGAAGCATGACTTTAATTTTATTATCGTTTTTAAATAGTATACATATTTTTAATGATATTATAAATATATAATATATAATTTATCATTACATAAATGCGTATAATGGTTGACACTGAAAATGTGTGCATCACGAGTGTTACCATATTACTAATAAACATTATTTTAAATTGTTATATGATGTAATTATTTTCACTTAAATGCCATCTTGTACAGTAGCAAATAAGTTTTACTTCAATCGCGTGTGAACCTTACGCGCACTCTTTTTTATTTATTGGAAGATATAATATAGAGTAGAGCTGGGCTTAAAGATCCAAGGATAAATAAAAATGTCTATCTCCAATATTTCTATAAAAAGTATAGTTAGGAACTTTTAAATAACAATATTTGAAAGTAGAGGGCAAAAAATGTGTATTCAGCCATCGCCTCAATTAAGCAACGACGCTGTTGGAAGATAAACGGCAATGTTTGAAAATCTATAAAAAAGCATTAATTTCTTTTAATAATGTTTTTTTTTTTGTTTTTTGAGCACTTCATGAAGTTTGCAAGTCCTTAATATTATTTTTAAGTACATGTTATTTAATTGTTTTATAAGATGTATCATTAATTTTAGGTTAGATTCAACAGATGTTTCTTTATAACCTCTATGAAAGCTTATATGTGGATGGGGTAAAAAAGATCAACTGAACCTTTACTATGCCAATATTAAATAGTAAATAAAATATGGATTCTGTAAAAAGCAATTATACAAGAAATAAATTCAATTAAAAATTATTTCATCTCTGCTGATGAATATTTCTGACGAAGCACTAGATCAAGATTATATAGTGTTACCTTTGCAAAAAATGTTTGAAGATCTGTTTGCTCGATGCCTCTCTCATTTTACAAAATAGAGTGCAGATGACAAATTTTAGAGAAATAAAAAAAAATGTATATAATTAGGAATTAACTGGGAATTATACTGAACATAGTTCGATAGTAATTTGTTTGATATGTGTTATGTGTTGTAATGTAGTTCATTTGGTATAGACAGAATAATGACCTAAAGTTAAAATGGGCCTATTAAAATTTAGATAGTTTCAGCTATATATAGCTATTTTAGGCAATAGCTATAAATTAGTATGAAAATATGAACTTTCACCCAGATCAAAAATGAAATATAAAATTATAAAATTTAGTTTTGATAGAGGAAATACTTTTGTTTAGATGTACATATTAGGAGAAACAAAAATGCTAATTGATATTTTTGTAACTAACGGAAGCAAATCAATACTTCAAAAAACTCTTTCTTACGTGATTGTCATACTCGGTTTTTGTTCATTGCATGGATTTTGTAATTTTTTAAACTTTTTGCTATTTTATATGTAATGAAAAAGCACCAAAAAGAAGCAAAACTTATTGAAATGATTTTAAACTCTGTTCACTTTAAAAAAAATGTATACTTCAATTATTGAGATTGGAGTGATGGTTGTTATACTTTACTATTAAATGTGGTTTTTAATTTGTAACAAAAATATTGTAATAAAGGTTGTTAGAAATGCATCCATGTCAATAAAGAAAAACTGAAGTGCTTTCCGAGTCCTAATATTTTAAGTCCTATTCTGAAGGAAAAGCCATTCTGATAATTTCGAAATGCTTTCCTTATGCAGAATGATATAAAATGATAAAATCAAATGCATAGATATAAAATACACAAAACATACATACAATACATAGATACAACAGAGATAAAAATATGAATATAAATAAAAAATGTATTTTACTTAATTCTAAACCTTGTATTCAAAGTGTGTATTTTCCAATTTGATAGTAAATTCGTCAAAAAAATCTGCATTTATGGACAATAACAACAGTATTTAAGAATTGTATTGAAGTGTCAAAATAATCTATCATCACTACTAGCAATTAAAAATTAGAATAACCGATGTTAAGAAGAAAATCTAATTTCTCTGTACTACTTCCAAAAATAGCTCACGGATCTAAGTAACTAACATAGAAGCATAAAGTTACCAAAATAAACAATCATCAAGAATTCAGCAAAATGAATGGATTACTTTAGAATAACACGTATATTCGCTATAAATACAAAATGTTAAAATATAGAACACTTACA